TGGGGAAAGGAATGCTCTACCTCAGGGCTTGCTGAGGCAGGGCAGCGTGCACCCAACTTTGTGCAATTGTGGAATTGGAAAGGACTGCAGGAGATCAGCTAATCTAATCCCCTGCTTTTAGGTGAATAATGCATTACATAACACAAGGCAGGGCATTGTCGCAGTCATTTTAAAACTCCTTAGGGGGTAAAATTTTCATAGTCTTCCTTGAAAAGATGCAGGGACTCAAAATGAGCCAGCTTAAGGCCTGAGACAGGATTCCTGAATATATGCCCAGCCCCTCAACGTGTCCACATGTCCACAAACCTTGTTGGACAGCCATCTTCAGATCCCCAGCCCTGCAGCCTCAGCCTAGCCCCCACCATAACTGCGATAACTTATAACAATAGCTCACACTGCAGCACTGAGACCCGTGACTCCTTTAGGCCTCAGCTAGAATCATACCCACCAGATGGGTAGAGAAAGAACCAGGGGAAAGGTACGAGGGACATAGGACTAGGCTGGGAAACGGGAGAAGTCATATAGGAATGGCAGTGTTCAAATCCAGATTTTCTCAATCAAAATCTAAGGCTTACCCTTCACACCAGTCTTGCTCCTTGATACATAGACGTGTAAGGTACCTCCTCTGGGGGTCATAATTAGGCAACTTTGGGAGTTCAAGAAGGGGCCATTTTAAAATGAATGTTGAAATGCTTTGGTTCACATAAAAAAAATTTATCCTGGATACACAGGTGTTGACAGATAATATTTAAGGTGAAAAGGGCTTAAACATAAATCAGAGACTCTTACCAACTATCGAGGTCTACTTTTTGAGACAGAGTCTTACTATGTCACCCTGGGTAGAGTACCGTGGTATCACAGCTCATAGCAACCTCAAACTCTTGGGCTTAAGCGATTCTCTTGCCTCAGCCTCTCAAGTAGCTAGGACTACAGGAGCCTACCACGCCTGGCTTTTGTTGTTGTTGTTGTTGTTATTGCAGTTGTCATTGTTGTTTAGCTGGCCCAGGCAGGGTTCAAACCCTCCAGCCTGGGTGTATATGGCTGGTGCCCTACTCACTGAGCTACAGGTGCTGCCTCAAGCACTACACAAATTAATCATCTGAAAGGTTTTGGATCACAGTACCCCCCCTCTTCAAAAACTACTGATGCTTCCTTATGTCTTAAGTGTCTCCAGTCTGACACTGGTCCTTTCCATCTTTCAAGGCACTCAGCACGATGTCTTACTCAGCAAAGGCATTAAAACGTAGTTAACTTGGCAAAAGCCACAAAAGGTGCAGCTCCAAATACCCACCCAATTCCTCTTTTCCCAGGGCTAATGAATATGTTTCTTGGCGCATTTTTCCTTTACCCAGCTGCAGTTTAATTAAAGTCCTTAAGTACCCATTGTACATTAATCTACACTAAGCTTAGAGCTGGAGCTATGAAAATGAACAGGCTCTGTATAGTGGACAGGAGATCCTTCAGCTTCCTGCCCACTGCTATAACCTTTGAATCCCAAAGCTTTGAATCCACCACTTCCGGCTGCTTCTGAGTCTGGTTCCATCAGTTATTTCAGATGTCTTTATCCTCTCCTTCTCTGTTGGATTCTTCCCTTAAATATTTTAAGTCTCTCTATTCCCTTTTGATTAAAACTACAAAATATTCTTAAGTCCTTCATTCCTTTTAAAGCCAAACTTCAGGAAAGAGTTATCTACAAGTTTCTTCTGCTTCGATTTCCTCACCTTTCATTCACTCCTTCACACCCTGACATCTGGTTTTGCCCTACTTACTATCCTATAACGAAAGACCATCTGTTGGGCCTTCTCTTAGTAGCTCTTGGTTGCCTTGGACCCTTTGTTTCCAGGGTGCCACCTTCTCTAGTTCTCCCCTGGCCTCTCTGGACAGACTCTCTCAAACTCCTTGGTGCACTTTTCTTTCTCAGCTCCTCTCTTAGACCTTGCTGCTCCTTTGAGCTCTGTCCGCAGCCTCCCTTTTTCATCATACTCTTCTTGGGTGAGCTCATGCCCACTTGAGGATTCATTTACCATCTTTGTTCTGATATCTCCCAAATATTTCTATCTAACTCTGATCTCTCTCTTGAGGGCCAAACTTTGACACCCTTCTGCTCATTTGACATTTTGAGGTAGACATTTCATAGACACTTCAAACCCGAAATCCGAACTCATCACCTTCTCTCACAAACTCTCTTCTTTTCCTATATTTTCTTTCTCACTGAATGGCACCATATCTATTCTGTTGTTTGATCCAGAAACCTCAACATCAATACTATTAATCACCAAGTTTAATTGATTTTAGCTCCTAAATATCTTTGGACTCCATCTAATTTATTCCATCTCAGCTTCCCTGCTAGTTTCCTATCCAGTTTCTCTGGCTCTGGATTTGTCTTTCTTCAATCCATTCTCAACATTTGGACAGGATGATCTTCTTACAGCACAAATCTGAGTCTATCTTTCTCCAGACTAAATCCTATCACTGACTCCCTGTTCTTCTCAAGATGAAGCCTTAACCTGGCTCCCTGATGTAGCCTGTGTCCCTACCTGGCTGCATCTCTTGTTAATCCCTTCCCTAAAGTTTGTGCTCCAGGTGAGCTAATCATGGCTTCCCAAATACACCATACTCTCTCATCCCTAAACCTTTACACACATTTCCTTAGTCTAAAATCCATCTCTCTTCTCTACTTCCCTACTCAGCTTTCCAAGATTCTATTCTTTTTCCAACCATGAACTTAGAAAGACTTTCCTGGCCACTGGGCTGGACATAGGTCTCTTCTGTCCAGTTATAGAATCTTCATCGTAGTTCTTCCTTATTACTCTACTCTAATTGCCTATCTTCTGATAGGTCACCCCTAAGAGCTGGTTAGCTCCAGGAAGTCAGAGTTCCTGTCTTATTCACTTTCATATCCCTAGATCCTGGAATGTGGTAGGTTCTCAATACACAATTATTGAAAAATAGAATAAAAAGGGTGGCACCTGAGACTCAAGGAGTAGGCCCCATATATCAGAGGTGGCAGGTTCAAACCCAACCCTGGCCAAAAAAATGCAATAAAAAATATTTAAATGCTTATTTATTTAAAATTAAATAAATATATAAATAAGCATATTCAAAGAATGTATAAATGAGTAAAGAAATATAGATACATAGATATCTATAATACCATGATATACATGATCTAATAATGGTATAATAACAATAGCAACAACAATAATATAGCTAACTTTTATCTCGTGCTCATTACATGTTTGCATTATTATAAGTACTTTCTACTTATTAACTCAATCACTCCTTACAACATCCCTAGAAGGCAAGGATTAGTTCAGGTGCTGGGGGTGTACAGCAGGGAGAGGGAGTCATTGTGGTTTCAGAGAGTAGTGGCCTCGGGGATGTAGTAGTGAAAGCCATGGTTATGCGCAAGCTGGAACCCTGGGGCAAAAGACCTGGTGGGAAGAGTTTGAGAAGGATTGGCAAGACAAGCCTGAGAAAAACAGGGGAAATGACACTAGGAAAACCAGAAAAAGAGAGAGATTCAAGAAGGTAGAGTGTCCTAGTGATGTCAAGTGGTAAAAGAAACCATGGCTCTGGCCTCTCAGAGGTCATGAGTGCCCTTTTATGAGAGTGATTCTAGTGGCTTCACTCATGTTGAAGCCGATCAGGGAAGGAATGTAGGAGAAGAAATGTAGAGAATGACACAGAATCCTCATAATCAAAAGTTGGCAGTGAAGGAAAGAAGAGAATAGGAAAAGGCAGGGAGGGCCAATGGGAGATCTTTCTTTTTCTTACCTGGATAGGAGTTAACCTGAGTGTATTTTTGTTTTGTTCTGTTGTTTTTGATTTTTGGCCAAAGATAAGACTCCAGCTAAAGAAACACTGAAGGTTAAGGAGATCAAAAGAGGCAGGACAGACTGGGATAAATAGGAAAGGTAGAAAGATGAGTTTGGGAAAGACAGCAGGTCTTCACCTAGTTGGGGGGGATGGGTCAATTACTGACAAGGGAACCCACTGGAGGAAGTTGTCCTGGGATGGTCTCTATCATCCCTGTGAAATATGGCACCATAATTAAGATCCTAGATCTCAATCAACCAATATCCTTAATAAAAGAAGAGCGAGGAAAAAAGAAGAGATTATCTCTAAAGACCACAGCTATTGCGTACATCACAGTAAATAAACAGACCAGATAGGGAAGACAGATGCAAAAGAATCAGCCACATTTAGATTGTTTATGGTGAATTTAGGGAACCAGATGAAAGCAAAAAATCTTTCACATAAGGCACATCTGTGCTCACTAAACCAGAGTGTAGGCTCCATGAAGGCAGAGGATGAGTCTATCATGTCTACTGCTACATCCATAGTAGACATGACTCAATTAATAGTTTGTGAGATGAATGAGTAAGATTCAAACACTGAAGAGTTTTGTTTAGCTATTTTGATCAAGGTTATAAACAGACCGCCTCACGAACATGTGACCTATACCATTTTACAGGGCCCCATGCTGAGAAGGGTCCCCTGCTTGGTTTAACCCTTTACAGTCATTGTTTTGAAATTCTCAATAATGTGAACAAGGGGCTCCAAAGTTTTCCTTTTGTACTTGGCCCCACATATTATGTAGGCAGTACTTTTTAAAAATTTTCAGATTAATATGAGGGAACAAAGAATTAGGTTACATTTGTTAGATAAAATCCAAGTTGTAGTTGAGCCCCTCACCCAGGAGGTGTGCCATACCCCCCTACCTTGTGCCCCTTAGCCAAGAGCACACCAAGCTCTTTCTCTTTTCTCCCTTCCTCCCACTTGAATTTAATTGTGTTTTTCTCTTGTGTGGACTTGTGGTTGTTCATCTACTGGTTTCATGTTAGTATTGAGTACATTGGATACTTGTGCAGCCAGTACTTTAAAAACAAAACAAAACATACATGTCCATAAAATATCAAAATGGATATTTTAGATATATAGGAATGTCAAATTATCCACAGAAATTAATCATATTAAAAAATATATTTCAGGCTTACCTGAAATGCTAGATCGTGGTTTTTCTTTCTTAAAATATGCATCATATTCTCTATAGACAATTTTCTTAAAGGAAGTTGCAAAAGGATTCAAACTGGAAATAAAACATAAAAACTAATTTGAAAGGTATAGTTGACATTTACTTCTCACATTGCAAAAAAATTGATCTCTCACATCTTTAGACTTCTAGTAGAATACAAGCATTGTTATTGTATTTCAGAAATCCACAGTTTTATACACATGATCATAATGAAATAATTATTGGTCTGTTTAGGCATAGTTGTGATGAGCATTCTTTCATAAGTTAGGCTGTCCTGTTACTGTTTCTCAAGGTCAATTTCCTAAAACAAACCCAAAATTATAGTGTCAACTCAAACATTAGGGTAGATTTTAACTGAATAAAAATATGACAAAATCGTTTAGGAATAAATAAATATGTGAGCTGTTTTTTAACTGATCAAATGTAGTTTTAATCTACGGGGTAACACTGTCAATAAGCATCAATTTGGGGGACCTTACTTCTAGCTGAGAGGTGAGATGGCTTGTAGAGTAAAAACCCTGGAATTCATATTGGAAACAAATGAATGAAAAACCCAACTTGGAAATATTAAGTAATTTGTCCAAGGAGATACAGCAGATAAATGGGAGAGCCGAGATTCAAAAAGGTAAAGGAGCTCAGAGAGAGAAGGCGGCAGAGAGGGTGACGGGAGACTTTTCTGTTCTTTTATTTTTTGCTATGCCTCTAAAGATGGGCACATCATTCCTATGATGACTCTAAGATGAGTAGTCAAAGAGAAGAGAATTGGGGAGCAATATCTTACAAATATCTAAACCAGTTGACTATGTTGTCCTTGTTCTGCTTGCTAATGCAGGACAGTGGCCCAGGCACAATCAGGGTATATCAGGACGGTAGAGCAGCCGTCACCTGCATTTGCTATGATTTGTCTGTAGCATAGTGGCTGGGGCCACAGGCTGGGGATTTGGTGTCTAGATTTGAATCCTGTATCTACTTCTGAATAATTGTATAACCTTGAAAAGTTTACTCAATCTCTGTAAGCCTCAGTGTCTACAACTGTAAGATGTAAATCAGTAAAATCTTCCTCACAGAATTGTTGTGAGTATTAGATAAGTTGATAAATGCAGAGAGTGTAGAGCTGGAACTTTATAAACACTCAATACATGGTAGCCACTAATATTATTTTCAAAATGTAATAGAAGTTGGTCTTTAGCCTTCAGGTTTTCCCAGCAAGCAGAAAAAACTATAATTGTAGTAATTTTCATAATGTAATGTGTGGGATACAAAATCTGTGTTTAATATCAGTGGTCAGAATTAAAGGAGGTATGAGGAAATGTGTTTAGAATGGCTAGATATAAAAAATAGGGGGTTCTCAGTCATTGGAAGCAATCCAGTAGAAATTAGACCACTACTTAGGGGAGGGTATTGGAAAAATAGGAGGTTAAAACATGTAAGTTGAAAATGAATCGAATGATCTCTTAGAGTTCTCAGAATCCAAGAATCCTAGGATGGTGTCCCTAATGTGAAAGTCCATTTTAATCATTTTTTTAGTATAAATCAAAAATAATTTTCCTCTCATGCCTCAGATCTTTAAATAAATAAATGTAGTTGCTATACAAAATCTTTATTAAGAAAAACCAGTCTTTTATGATATATGTAGAGTAATTTCAATACAGTTATGGTTCCCAGTATGTTTTAATGTGTATATTATGTATTCTTGTTGAGGTATATCTATTTGACCTATACAATTTCTACTGGAAAATAATCTGTCTGAATAGAAAATTAAAGATGATATGAATTCAAATAACATGCTTGAGAAGTTTTCCATTTATAAGGACTATAATTTAAAGATGATTTTTCTTTCATAAAAAGAAAAATCATGTAAAGGTAGTATACCCTAGGGGGGAAACTTCCTTAAGGAAATGTTTGAAAGCATACCCTGGACCTGGAACAAGAATAATACATATATTTTACCTTTAAAAGGCATTGTCCTACTAACATTAGATGAACTAGACAGATCTCTGCTGAAACACACTTTGGCAAAGCATGGAGTTGTCTGCATTGACATCCCCCTAGTGAGTATCCTTGACCTCTTGGGGCAGAACAAGTTAGAACAAGTTCTTAGTTTAAGCAGCCAGATACACAGATCACATTTTTCATATGACAGTACTAGAGAAAAATGACATGATTTGAGGTTCAACCATATTGAAAGCTTGTCCGGGCTATCTCTCTATGGCTTTGACTGAATCATTGATATCAGAGGAATAACTCTTCCCAGAATATTAAAAACTCAGTCCCAAAATGAAGGGACATGTTGACCTGTCCTGGGTCCCTGTGGACTCACCACGTGAATCAGACCTTTGGCCTTTGTGGTTCTGCCTCCAGTATTCTGCTTGCCATTGTCAATGTTAACTACAGAAGAGAGAACAAACTCCCAAGCATAAAGACAGTGCTATAGCCAGCAGCCAAGTTCACGTTCCACCCAGGAACAGGCAAGATTAGTGTTGGAAAGACTGTTATTTTCCTTGACGTTTTAGTTGATAGCAGTTCCCTAAGAATGGGGATGTGACCTAGATTATCACCTTGGAATATAATATTTAAAAGGTTATTTTTGAAAAGGAGGTATTTCTTACTATAAGATCAAGATGGTATGTACTATCCTCTAAAATGACCTAGTCATGATGCCATTTTTAAAAAAAGTTAATGCTATTCAGTAAAAGATCTCAAAATATTACATTATTTCTCGGCAGGTCACTTGCTTTTGTAATTATAAAAGAGGAACACATCTTTCACAATCACTTAAACTGTGATGTTAAGTAAAAAAAAAAAAACGAGTCACATGAGGAGGTTTGCCACGGAAAAAATAAAAATATAATTAACTGGAAAAATAGTCTCTAGGATTTGGTTAATGTCCGGGAAGTTTTATTTTTAACCTTTCAATTAGAAGAAAATAGTGTGCAACTCAAAAGTAGAGTTTTGTGTGACTTAAGCTTTATCTTAGTTACATATGCTTTTAAACCCTATCACCACAGCCAGGGTAAACCATACCCCAGGAAATGATGAAGAGTGAGGAAAAAAATGAAGAGTCACATTCACTAGCATAAATAAGTCAAATACAAAGCAGGAAAAAAAAGGTGAAAATGCAAAAAATGTTACATTTCTGTGAACTGATGATATTTTGATAATCATGTAGACGAAAGCAGCAACAAAAATTATACGGCAGCGGTTATTCAGTTGTCTGCTTCTAACAATGCACCAGGTGTCCACCTTTAACTGTAGAAGATAAAGCTGTGTGGACAATGGAATAGATAATATATAACTAGAAGGTCCATAAAAATACTAAACTACTAAAAATCTGGAAGAGGAGTTTGCAGGAGGGGTGACCCAAGGAGTTAAGTGCCTGGTGCTTTTCAATGGATCAATATAGTAAACCAACAATCAAGCGTACTCACAAAACTATATCGAAAACAAACTTCTGAAAAGAAAGCCGCATCTAACCAATCAAATGGGATGTTTTCTATACCCTCGGAATGATCAGCTCTGTTTCTGCAGCCAAAATTAGCATCTGCCAAGTTCATTTCATTCATTATACGCTCCGATTAGTTGCATTTACTTAACTGAAAGTTGTTTTTCAAAATTTCATAGAATTGCAAAGGGAAAGAATGTTCTCTAAAAGAAATAGCTTCTCCTCTGCAGAGAAGCCCACCCAGACCCCACACCTGGGTTACCTGAGGTTTGCGGGCTCAGGGTGGTAGTAGCTCCAGCTGACGTGCTGGGCAGCCACGTAGAACTGCCTTAGCTGCGCTGCGTCGGCCCCTGGGCTGCCCCCGCCTGCCCAGCTGGTGCCTAGGACCACCAGGACCCAGACGGGTGGGCAGCCTGGGAACATGGCTCTTTTCTTGCTTCAGTGACTCCCACGTCCCCGGAGCAGGACCTGGGCACAGCTTGCCCAGGCGCCCCCCGACTGCGGTCCAGCCTGTAGTGAGTTCCTGGGGCTGTGGGTGGCAGCGTCCTCCTCTGCTCCGCTCCTGCTCGCTCCACTGGGGCGGTCGCCTCCGGCTCTCCCTCCCTCCCTGCTTTCCGGGTAGGGTCACTGCTCCCGGGGAGGTATTCGGGGAGTGTAACTAGATTAGTGACTGTTTTACTACAGATGAAGAAAGGGCAGGGATCAGAGGGTTTAGCAGGTGGGACAGTGCCCAGATGAGCCACTAGACAAAACTGTATTGCTCCATTTCCACCCGATAATACCCCTGGAGCAGCAGCCCCTCACCACCCACCCGCCAGCGGTCTGGATCAAAGTTCACACTTGCCAAACTCTGCGGTTCCCAGTGCAGCGGAACCCACTGGGTTGCAGGAAAGGGAATGGTGCCCTGTCTCTGGGCGCAGGAGCACTGTGTTTTCGGGTGGTGGAGAAGCAAGGGACCAGGACTGAGAGCAGCGTTCCGGGGAGCTTTCCCGGCTTCTACTAAAGCGCAGTTCTGCCTTGATAAGGGCCTGTTGCCAATAAACACCAGCTAAAGGGCAGCCTAGCAGAGGGCTTAAAGAGCTTGGCTGAGAAAATTAGCCGTGGGGATTTCGATTCCACTTCCTAGCTGTTGTCTTGGGTAAGTTACTCTGCCTCTCTGCAAATCAGTTTTGACATCTGCAAAGTAGGCATGGTGATAGTTTTCCCTGATAGGGTAGTTGGGAGCATAATAAGACGTATGAGGTAGTTGGGAGCGTAATTCCCAGCAGATATTCCTCTCTATGATTCTCTTTTCCCACCTCCAGGGCCCCTTATATTTCTTGTAGGATCTGGCCAGCAGAGAATCTAAGTGATACTCTCAGATCTCTCATCATAGTGACTTGTCCCTGGTTCCCTGGATCTGTGAGCCGCCAATCTTCTGTCACGTGCTTTATGCCATCAATACATTCAATAGATGGTAATGTGGCAGGTCACATGAGGTCTCCATTAACAAATCCAGGCTTATCAACAGCCTCTTCCCCTGACCCACCACTAATCTTCTGTCTTTGCCCCTTTGCTGATGTTACTACCAACTTGGAAGGCTTCTTTTCTTCCTCTTTGCCTGGCCATTCCTTACAGTCCAGAGATTTACCTACCTCCGTGATTCTGGGCTTAAATGGAGTTTTCCATTTTATGAACTCTTACAACACTATTTAAATTATTTGTGCTCTTGTTGATTACCCTCATTGTTCTGTGTGTTTGTCGTCTCCCTAACTAGAATATAAGCTATTCAAGAACAGGAACAATGCCTTACACATCTGTATTTAAGGTCTAAGTGGCTCTCACCTTTAGACAAAACCATCTGAATTCTCTGGGGAGCTTTTACAAAATTCAGATTTTGATTCAGGAGACAAGGTTGAGAACCATTGTCCTTCCTAGCTTAGTGAGTGAAGTATAAAAAGCATTCCGAGATGCTATTTGCACTGGATCAGGGAAACTTTTCAAAAACACAGTCTCCATAAATCCCCAGGCCACTTACCAAAATTCTGGTAACTTTTAGTTAGACTGCCTTACTGTTTTGATTTGCACATTTGATTAGTCTGCAGAACACAGTCATTGTGTTACATTTCACAGAGACAAAATAACTATATTTTGGGGGTTTCTATTTTTTGCTTACCAGGTGTTTCTGGTAAGCACTGTGTAACTTTTCAATGACCTATTATTAAACATGGGATTTAAAGGACGTGCAAAACCCATCTGTTCTTCCCGGTAGCTCATTAAGTTGATGAAGACTTTTTTTGCTTCTATAATTTTTCTGTTGGGGTGGGGGTTGCATGATATATATTTGCAGACTGACTGTAGGGTTGAGCCGTAATTAGGACAACTGTAGTTGTGTATTACACTGCTAGATCTTATTAAATGAAACATCAAACAGAGGAACATGGCACTTGGGGAGAATTTTTTTAATTATACATTTGAATATCGGTCTTTGGGTCCTTTGAGGGAGCCTGACTGGTGACAAGAAGGTCTGCAGTGACATGGCCTCCTGTCTTGATTCTTAGTCTTCTGGAACCTCTGGTGCCATTCAGAGGCCTCTCTGGAAGCCTTGTAAACAGCAACCAGCAACCACGGGAAACCCCAAAGTTTCTGTAGGAATTCTCTCAAGTGAGAGATGTCACCCATCTTCTGACACAGTAGAGAAAACCTTCTTTCAATACAAAAATAAAGAGGTATTTTTATTTCTCCACAGTCTGGTCTTCTTGTGAGTCAGATGCTCCAGTCTCTTTGGCTAACTGGTATTTTCAAGCAACAGCCAAGTGGAAACCCACAGACCACTGCAGAAACATTGGCTCTTGGCCTCTGTGGCTTGCGCTGGAGCAAAGGGAGAAGTGGAACAGGAAGGGGCGGGGGGTGGAGAGTTTGGGATTGTGGGACAATTCTTCTGCTCTGGTCCAGGGCTAATCTAAGGAAATTCCATGTCTTTTATTCACAAGTGTTTATTGAAAACTTCAGCCAATGTACTGCAGTTAAGTCAAGACTAGCAGGAGGCTTAATGTTTACAAACAAGATCTGTGGAGGTTGAATGAGGTGAGCAGGAGAAGGACAGATCTCTGAAAATAAAACAAAAGAAATTTAAATAATTATATTTTCCTTTAAAATACCAAAGAAAGAAATTTCTCATCATATCTATCTCTAAGGCTCAACATAATCTTCTCTTTCTAGATTGCAGATTCCCGGATTCTGCCATTCAGGCTACTACTTTTTGTGGGAAACTCAACTACCCACTAAGCTTTTTGGGAGAGGGACAACATCAGATTATTTTTGTTTTCCCAGCAGGTAGCACAGGGGATTGACTCCATGAACGTTTATAAAATTTTTCTAGCAGTCCTGGCTTGTTCTCAGGCAACATCATGGAATCAATACCATCAAGCAGCCAATGATGGGAATATCACACTTTCTGAAATAAGTTATGTCTTATTAGAACGTTTCTGTCCTGGAGGAAATGGAAAGCCTTCTGTGAGCTGTCTCTATTGACACTTCATTACATTGTCACTTCTCTATGGTCTTACCTGTCTTTTGTTAACACAATTTCCTGCATGGCCTTACAACGTAAGGAAAAAGAAAAGTCAAACACGATGTTCTTCCCTTTTCCTCTTCTGTTTTATTTTCCTCAAAATGTTGTCGTGGGTAACTTACCCTAACTGCCCGGGTCAAATGCAGCATTTGTAAAAACTCCGTATGTTCCCAGGTGGCTAAAGAATAGAAACACAGTAGTGACCGGCCATATGGTGGTTAGTCCCCAACAACACAGTCCAGCACGTAGTATTTCCAGAAACCATGGATTACCACCCCACCACTGGAATTCTGCTTTTAAAAGGAAAGAAAAGTAAAGACCAAAACAAATATTTGAGATGGCACTTAACAGCTCTGGGTAATTTATATTTTCCTCCACACTTTATAAATTATTGTTTCTTTGTGTATAGAATACTTGCTCTGCCCTCTAGGGGGCTGCAGACTCTTCTTGGTGAGAAGTTACAAAATTCTCAACCTTGATCCTTGATAATCAAGCAGTACTTTGCAAAGGAGGCAGTGTGCCCCCTAGAGGCATTTTAAAGAAATATTTGTAATGATCAAGACTTCTACTGACAATTAATGGGCTGGAGTTCCAGGTGTTAGATAACCAAATAGACACAGGACACAAAAGAATTGTCCCACATCCTACATACTTTGGAATAGCTACTTGCTAAATATTCATATATTCATATAGATTAAAAGTCTCTGAGCCTGAAAGTCAACTGCTTTATACATAAAGTATCTTTCACTCGTTTAAGAGGCAAATACCATATGGATTGATGGAAGATTATAACAGGTTTTATAATTCTTTATCAGAATTATTCATTATTTTGAAAAATCAGGTTGGTATTGGCAACACTTGTGATGCTCTTCAAGTCTCTGATACAATGTTCTCGTGTTCAGTCTACCTGTGTGGCTGTTGCCTTCA